AGTGGGGCTGGCTGCTGAGGGAGGCTCAGGATCCCCAGGAGGGAAGCTGCCGAGGGGAGAGGCACATGTCCTCCCAGCTCCCCGCCCGGCCCCGCCCCTGCTGCCTCTGCCGAGCTCAGCTCTGGACTCCAGGGCCTGCCGAGGCACGCTGCCCCCCCCAGGCCCGGCGCCTCACTCACCTCCCAGGGCCAGGAACCTGTTCTCCCGGGAATGCCAGGGAGTTCTCAGAGGACTCTATTTCCCAGGGGCTCAGGGAGCCCCAGAATTCTCTCGATTCTGCTCCTGGGAAGGCAAGAGAAAGATTAGGGGGTTGGAGCACCCTTGGTGCTCCCCATCTTTGTCTCAGCTACACGCTGACCTCATGTGGCCCCCAACCAACAGCCATGCCTTCATTCATTGTGAGGCGGGAGAAGGCTTGGGGCAGCTGGAGTCAAAGGCGAAAGCCCCCTGGTGACACTTGCCCTCTGGGAAGCTGTCTTATGTCCTCACCTTGCTCTCGGGAAAAGCCTTCCTTTTGCCCCTTGGAGAGTTCCGTCTGCCCACGAAGAAAGTACCACCTCCCGTGGCTCTCCATCCATCTCTGCCAGGAGGTCCTTCCTCCTGTCTAACCTCCTTCCTTCCAGCTTGAGTCTTCATGGATCAGCAGAAACCCCACTGCCTGCACAGGGCTTAAGCACCTAGCCAGAGACTAAGTCACACAGAAACCCCTGAAGAGCTGGTGTACAGGAAAGGACAGAAATGAGAGAGGCAGAAATGCCCACTGCCCCTCTGTTAGTCTCTCTGACTCCACGCTCTAATGAAAGGAAGACTGTTGGGAGGCTCTTCTGCCTGCCTCTCCTTACTCCCCGGTAACAGAAGCAGGCCAGGGGCAGAAGTCCCATAGATATGCCCTCCGCTCTTTCTTTCTCAGACCCTGCTGAGGCTACAGGGCGGGGGTAGGGGAGGTTTTAGCAAACTGAGATTGGTTTCTGCAACAGGAGAGAGGGACATTAGAGTTTAGAGAGATGCTTCAGCCTTTTAAATTGAGTTCAGCTGAACTATTGTGACACTAGTGGTAAAGAACCCGCCTGCCAATGCAGGTAGATGTAAGAGACTCAGGTCCCATCCCTGGGTCGGGAAGATCCACTGGAGAAAGGAATGGCACCCCACTCCAGTGTTCTTGCCTGGAGAACCCCATGGACAGAGGAGCCTGGCGGACTGCAGTCCATGGGGTCGCACAGAGTCAAACACGACTGAAGCGACTTAGCACGCATGCATGTGACCACAGGAGGTGGTTTCCTGAGTGGAGAGGCAACCATTGATCTGTGATGGGTGTGGTTGGGCTGGCAACATGCCCAGGAGTAGGGAAATGACAAGATGACCTCTGGGAGAGTGCGTCTCTCAGGAGCATCAAAGGTCCCTGAATAATTTTGGTCTTTCCAATGTATTCCCTCCCATCCTTTGCCCCTTCTTCCATCTCTGCATCTCCAACCTCCACCCCACCCCATCTGTAACCTCTCTACTCCAGCTCCATCTCCTTTCACAACCCAACTCTATACCCCCATTCTCATCTCCAACCCTGATCCAGCCCTCCTCCTGTCCAATCCCCAACCCCAATTTCACCTTCACCTTCACTTCCACCACCCCATTCCTCTCTTCTCTCTCTCTTTCACCCCACCTTCACCCTCATCCCTAACCCCATCTTCCCATCCCACACCATTTCCACCTCCCCTAGATGGGTCTCTCCATCAGAGGTCCCCTTTGGAATTCAACATCCTTCATCAATGCCCCGGCCAGGTCCTGGTGTGTCCTCTGTATTTTCCCGGTGTTCAGGAAAAGCCCAGAACCACGGCCAGTAGGAAAAAATGGGTTGGATAGGATCATCTCTGGAGATGGGCTCAGCCTCCTGATCCTATCTGGATCTTAAAGACTAGATGCTGGTCAAGTACGAGTAAAGATGAGTTCAAGTACAACAAGACAAGTATGATGTCCAAATGGGTCTCTCGACCCTGCAGGTGTGTGTCCGGTGAAATGGGGAGATGAAGAATGCCCTCAGAGGGCCCCCAAGGGAGGCAGTGGCAGCTTTTGGGGGGGATGCCAGGAACATAACCCATCCTATTAGGCAAGGCCAGGCCCAAGGCAAGGAGATGGACAAAAGCTAAAGCAAGAAAGCCTGCCAGGTTGTTTAGGAATGACTGCAGTTGTGAGCATCCCCGGGTCTCTACCCCGCCTGTGGTTCTTGCTTCGTCAGCTCAGATTAATGGGGCTGGGGAGAGAATTAGCTGAATCGTGATCTCTCAGGGAACTTGACTCTAGAGCTGGCTGTGAGTCACAGAGAAAAGGATACCCATGTTCCCATGCTACTCTAGAAGTTCCAGAGGGTGGGCACTCCTCAGGACCCGCCAGGATGCAACTGAGTTTCCCAGAGATCTGACCCTAACCCTCCACCCCATGCTCATGGGAGGATACATATGATCAGTCTACTTCAAGCCCTGCTTCCCAAGTCTGAAAGTACTGCTTCTGACAAACTATAGCCAACCTGGGCACAAACACACACACACACACACACACACACACACACACACACACACACTCCCAGAGTGGGGCGTGTCCCTGGAACCAGATTGCCCGGAGACAGTTGCAGATCCCACCTACACTTGTAAATTCCACAGCCTTGTCCCAGGCTACACCAGCCCATCAGTCTTGGAAGGCATAGGGTGTACACGAGGATGCACACACACACAGAGCCCCGTGATTATAAAACCCAACTTTCAGACTCTCCACTTGGCATAAGCAGAGTGACTGCAGCAGTTTTCGCCATCAGAGGGGTCCCCAGCTCCCTCTGGGAGGAGTTCCTGAGCCCACACTGAACCTCAAGGAGCACGTGGTTTGGAGAAGAGGCTCAGCCTCTCTGGGCCTTCACATGGTCATGCCCAACCTGCCCAAGGTGGGAAGGGTTTTGGAGAGAAAGCTCTTTGGGATGACAATGCCAGGAGGATCCTTTGCACACGTGCTCTGGATGGTATTGGGGGAGGGGCATCACCAGTGTGTATTTGTCTTGTACTAGGTATGTATTATTAGTAGTGGCGACAGGATTAATATCCCTAATAATAGATCGGCAATAATGAGCAGTCCTTCTGATAATGATATGTACAGAGCATGAGAGGCCCCTGGCTCAAGGGATGGTAGGTTCCTGACTCATCTCATGCCCCCACTAAGGTGAATAGGCGGAAAGGGGTCTGGACCAGTTCTATGGAGAGCACCCAGGGAGGGGCAGACAGTTGAAGGGGCAAAGATCTCAGCCCCCACCTCTTTCCTTAAATCCTGTGGATCCAGGGTCCCAGGGGAAGAGGTGGGGGCACCATAAGATGGTGTTGGTTTATCTTCCTCAGAGAATTCTGGCATCCTGGTCTTCAGTCAGTCCCCAGGACAGCCGGGTGAGGTATGTAAGGCAAAAAAGATGATCCCATTTTAGAAATGAGGAAATGAGGTTAATTTCTGTGACTAGTGCAGGCTGATGGCAGAGCTGGGAAAGGAGTTTCTGGGGTCCTTAATCAGAAGGACCCCCTGTGAGGGGAGAGGGGAGGCTTAGTGGCAGGAGGGGCATCTGAGATAATAAGTGCCAAGCTAGAGGATGAGGTGAAACAAGGCCCCAGTCATCCCTGTTGGTCTCACAGCTCATATCATCAGCTTCCAATCACCAGCAGAGCCAGTTACGAAAGTACCCACAGGAAATGGGACCACCAGGCTCAGCCCTGAGTGACTTGATTATGGGGGCAGGACTTCTGGAACACTGGATCACAGAGCTAATGGGTGCTCAGAGGATGGGCAACTCCAGCCCATCCCCCAGCCTGTTCCACTCTTTAGCCAGTGTGGCTGGAAGAAGCTCATTGTAAGGATGAAGGCCATATTTTATCATCTGTGAAAAATCCTCCTATTCCTTCCATCACTCCCCATCTCATCTTCCACTCTTGGATCCCTTCAACAGCTGGACAGACTGAGGATTGGAAGGAACTTACTTTGGAAATCAGACCCCTGCTCTCTGTACACTGCCCTCCCCCCCCACCGAGGAGGATAAAGCAGGCAAACAGTGCCCAGCTCCCCGGTCAGGCCCCCAGGGGTTCTAGGTCACCTGGTCCACACACAAGTCCCTTGCCAGGCCTGTTCTCACCATCAGACCCAGTCATGCCTTTAAAAATTCCTGGGGAAGGTGGGGGATGGGGGCGCAGCTTCTCCCTAAATTGCCTGTGTAAGGGTCTCATGCTCTTGGAAACAAGAATTTTGCACTGTACACCACCCCCTCCCCACTCCTGCCCCAGCTAAACTTGGATGGCAAGGTGATTTTGCTTCTAGGAGCAACAGCCTCAGAGCTTGAACTCCAGAGTAGGTAGGAGGGAGGAAAAGACCATGAATGATAACCAGGACCAAACGTTTCCTGGGGGTTGGGAGTGTTTAGGTGGGAAGTATATTAGAAAGGGTCACCTATGGACCCTAAGGAGAACCCAGTAGAGTCAGTCTCTCTGACTAGGTGGCCATAGCAGAGAGAAAACGGGGTCTGTTAGGCATGTCTCAGAGATGGACGGGAGCTTTGAAGAATAACACTATTTATTTCCTGGAAACCAGCATCTCTTTCTTCCCCATATACTAAATGAGTATCCAGAGGCAGTTCAAAGACACCCATTAATATATCCCACTGTCCACTTATTCATCTCTCTGTCCATCTGTCCAGCTTCCCATCCAGTCATTTGTTCACCCATCAATTTGTCTGTCCATTGATCTGTCCATTTCATCCATCCATCTTTCCTTCCATTCATACACTTATCCCTCCCTCCATCCATCCGTCATTCATGAAGTCAAGCCGCAGTAGATCTCCCCAAGGCTGCTGGTAAGGGCCTGTGGTCCTGTGGCATTTATGGGGCATGTGACCTGCCTGCCTGGCCTGGGGAGGCAGCCCCGCCCCAGCCCTCAGGCAGGGGGCTGGTCCAGGCATGTGGGAGTATTTATACCTCGATGGAGGCTCCTGGGGAGTTGCTGGACTGAATGACTCCCCGAAGCCGTGATGGTGGCCATGGCCCAGAGCCTACTGTGAGTGCTTGGATTCAGTTCCTTTGGGGTCGGGGCGGGGTGGCAGGGCCTGGGAACCGGCTGGAGAGATGGGAAGCTGCCCATGGTGTTCAGGGATGGTAGGAAGGAAGGGGTACTGGGTAAAGGATAGAACAGGAAGCTGTTGGAGTTTGACACAAACAGCAAGGCTGGGATCCATCCTGGAGCAGGACTGAGTCCATTGCCACTTACTAGCTCTTGGCGAATGGCAGCAAGAAGAGGGCAGGAGGACTAAGATTACAAGAGAGATTAAGGTTAGATACCTGGAAGAAGTTCCAGGTCAGCCTCAGGCATGGAAGATGTTTCAAGTGCTTTTTCAGGACAGACATGCCGAGTGATTCTCTAGGACCAGCCTATTTCCAGAGGCAGGGGAGTGACTGAAATGGCTGAAGGAAAGTCCTGGCTGGGGGGATGGGGATGACTCAGTCTCAGGTATCAGGGGTCAGATTTGAGGAAAGCACCCCAAGGGAGATGTGATAGCTCTTCATCCTTTGTTCTCCGCAACGCCCCCCCCNCCCCCACCCGCTCCACCCCCTGCCGTTTCCATCTGTAGCTGCTTCTCAGAGCACTTTAATCAGATCTCCAGGCAGGGGCAGCTGACCCACTTCCTGATACCAAGCCAGGGTCAAGAGCCAGAGTGGACAGGATTTTGACCTCAGAGCCTCCAACTTAGATGGGAGCAGCGGAGCTAGAAACCCCAGGCTCCCAGGATCCCAGGGTGCCCAGCCTCAGGAGTGGCCCCCGGGCCCTTCCCTGCCACCCCTACGAGGTAACTTCTGAACTACTCCAGGGGACCCCTCCCAGCAGCCAGGCGGGTGGAGCCCCGGGTGGGGCCACCGGCAGCAGTGGGCAAGGTCCCCACCCCTTGTAAAACATGCTGCCGCAGCCAGCAACAGAAACCATTAAGGCGGAACTCCACCATCTCCACCTCTCCCATAAAGGGCAGGTAGGAGCAGCCCGGGTGGGAGGGAGTGTAGAGAGAGCCCAGTGAGGGCCTTGAGTGTCCTCTGACTCAGCTGCCCACAGGGGGTACAGGGACAGACCCTCCCAAGGAAACTGCCAAACTTGCCCCCCACCCGCCACTCTGGCTTCCAGGAGTGAGCAAGGAAGCTGAGGTGTGCCTGAGGTGGGGCTGTGGCGCACAGTGGTTAAGCACCCTAGCTTTGAAGCCGGTGTCTGAATCGTGGGGAGCATCATTTACTAGCTGAGTGAACTTGAGCAAGTCAGGTTAACCTCTCCGAGCCTCAGTTTCCTCATCTATAAAATGGGAGTGATAATACAACACCTCCTTTCTGGGGTGTAATAACTCACCCAGCTGTTCCTGGTCCCCGTGAGGATTTCCTTCCTCCCAAAGGAAGAGCAGAGATGAGGGCCCAGAGATGACAGCACTGTGGACCACATCCACATCCACAGGACCAGCTTCAGCATCTTTAGATGCAAATGGTCCCAGCATATCATTTTACTTGTAAGGAAACTAAGGACAGAAAGGGGAAGTGACTTGTCCATGGTCACAGAACCAGCAAACAGGGCTTTCCCTGACCCCTACCCCACAAATGTTCCCTCTGCCTTGACCCTGGGGTACTAAAAAAAGAGTCTCTGAGGGGTGGGTGCTGGGTACAAGAGGTAAAAGGCCTGGCTGTTTGCGAGAAGGACACAGAGCAGAGATGCCACCACAATGGTTGTTGATCCCACAATCATACTTACTGGGGAAATTTCTTCCTCATCATGCCTTCTATTCAGGCTAGAGGACTGTTTCTTTCTTACCTCTGACTCCAGAGAAGATCAAGTCTATTTAGTCCATCCCTACCCCAGCCCTCCCACTCTTGCAGGATCATAGAAGGAGGAGAAGTTCAGAGAGCAGAGGTTAGACAGAATACCTGGATGCTAAACCGGTCTTCAGATGATGTTTTGCCAAGGTTGCAAGCCTGAAGTGTGTTTGAGGGTGTTGTGGGACTCTTGAGGCCTGAGACTCAGGAGATATTTTCAGTTTTAACTGTTTGGTCCTGGGCATGTCATTCTCTCTGAGCCTCAATCTTCTACCCTGAAAAATGGGATTAATGACCTTTCTCTCCTACCGGTGGTATGTGATAAATATTCACCCACCAGCTCTCAAAAAAAAAAAAAAAAAAAAGGTGAGGGGTGTGGGGCGCTGATCTGTAGCATTTGCTAATTTCATTGGATAGATACTCCCACCACTGCCAATTTGAGGATTTGGGCCAATTTCACCAAAAGTGAATTGTACCATTGGCCCTAACAAGCCCATAGCAGCTGACTCCAACACACCGCTGCCTGCTACTCTCTGAGGCAAAGAGAGGATGAAACGAGGGAATAGAAACAAAAGTGCTTTGTAAACTGCCGAGTATTTTATAGACGTAGAGTTGTGAGTAGGAAAGTCCTCATGGTCAAAGGGATAGAGCACAGTCTACCAGCTGAAAGCCCTGGCCTAGCTCCAGCCCCAAAAGCGGGCAGGTTGTGAGTGGAGTGGCAAGTCCTGAGTGCCATCAGGGGCCTCCTAGGATCCGAGGAAGAAAGAGAGCTGACTGGACCTCCTGCGCTGGTTTGCTGATGAGATTTGCAGACAAACATCCCACTGTGCCCCCTGAAACTAAAGCAGGTAGGGTAAAGGTTAGCGTTCACTGAAAGATTCCTCCTGCAGGCAGAGGCCAGCACCCATCAGAGAGGACTCCTGGGGGAGCCGAAGCAAGAGTCACCCCCCTCTCTTCCTACTCTAATCCCTGGGAGTTTCTGCAGCCATTCTCCCTCAGGGGAATGGCTAAAATGACCTCTGAGGCCAGAGGGTCAGGAGGAGGGAAGTTCAGCCTCTGCCAATGCAGGAGGATGATGTCAGGGAGACGGAGGTGAGAGGCAGGAAAGAGGAGTTCCTTCTTTCCTGGTCCTCGCCCCCAGAGCTTATGCTTTAAAATACTCTGTCCCACTGTTAATTATTAATAATAGCTATCATTTATTGAGCACATACTATGCATTAAGCTATTTACAAGCAATATTTCATCTAACCTGCCAGAGAGGTATGTATTATTAGCTCTATTTTACAGATGAGGAAACTGAGGCCCATGGAAGGAAGTTGAGCAAGTTGCCTAACCGAAGTCCCACTGTTACTGGGATTCAAATCCAATCCTGACTCTAGAGTTTCCAAACTAGCTAATCCAACTTTAGGAGCCCCCCTAGCTATTTGAGAAAAAGGTCAGAGGCCAAGGCAGCCTCACCTCCCTCTCCATAGTGAGTCCTTTGTTGGGCTGTACAGAAGTCCCCACCTCATATACACCAAGGAAAGCCCATCTGCCCAGCCCTTGAGGCAAAAGGACCCTTTGAAATGGCAGTTGGTGAAGGATCTCATCTTTCTGGGGGCTGTGTGTCCTCAGGCAACTCACATTCTCTGGACCTCCTTTCCCGATGTGTAGAACAGGATTTCAGCTGAGGAATCAACAGGGTTTGTCATCAAATCAGGAGTCATCGTTTATAAAACCTACCCAGAGGAAACCCTGCACTGAGGCTCATCCAGGGACATCTATATCCTCAGTGCAAATCAAGACGCTGGGCTCTGAACTCTGCCTAACCTCCCTGGTTCTTATCCTGTCCCTGGGAGCTTAGAGGAAGTGGGGTAGTGGTTTGACCAAGCCAGGATATGAAAGTCACGGCTGGGAACTGAAGCCTTCAGGTAAGGCCTCTGACTTACAGGAACTCGGCCTGGGCTACTGGTAACACCCCAGGACACTGGGGCTGCTGCCAGGATGAGGGGCAGACAGAGGCTGCAGGAGCCCTTCTGGGAAGGCCAGAACTTCCGCAGGAGGGGTGGCCCACTCTGCGTCTCAGAGAGACCTCCGCAGGTTCATGTCTCAGAGGAGCAGAGCCGGGGTCTGAACCCCCTGGGGCCAGGCCGAGTAAAGGTCAGGCAGACAGGGCCTGGCTAGAAGGGCAGCTGTCATCTGGGAATGGGGTCGTTAGCCAGTCTCCCCAGGCCTGAAGCACTGAGACCATCAGGGAAACTACAGTCTGGGGTCAGGAGCCACAGCCACATCTGGCCAATGAATCCAGATGTGCACAATACCTCCTTTCTACATGCCGGGCACCTGGTACACATCATGTCACTTAATCTTCATGACAGCCCTGTGAGGTGGGTCCCCAGGCCCCGTGATCACAGGAGCAAAGGGAGAAACAGAATCACACAGTTTCTCAAAGTCACCAAACCAGGAAAGAGACACACAGCTGGGACTCAAATTCAGGTTGTCCCCAATTCAGAGCCTTCGCTTTTTTTTTTTTCTTGGTGCATTGCACCACATCGCTTGCAGGATCTTGGTTCCCTGACCAGGGATTGAACTCACGCCCTCAGCAATGAAAGAGCACAGTCCTCACCACTGAATCACCAGGGAATTCCCAAAACCTTTGCTCTTCACCACTTGCTATTCTACCTCCAAAGAGGAGAGTGACCACTACCCCATGTGTTACAAAGCCTGAGAACTGGGGGGAGGAAGGACCCCAGCCTTCTGTCAGGAGGGAATGGAGAAGGCCTTGGGAAAGCAGGTCTGGCCCGGGGCCAGGCGGGGCAGGCAGGCCCTAGCTGTCCAGGGCTTCCAGGTAGCAGGGGCCAGGCCGGGCGCTCAAGCAGAACCAGAGATGGGCTGCCCTGCCCCTCGGCCCGGGGCCTGCTCCACCGCGGTATCCAGTTACGGCCAGCTCGGCGCTTCCCCAGTCACGCCACATTTAGCTTTGCCGAGTGAGCAGCACCGGGACACAGAGAAGGGGCGGCAGGGACTCTTGAAGGGGCGGGAGAGCCTCCCCCAGCCCCCCACCTGGACCCCAGCTCCCAGCCCCCTCCCCCACTAGCCTCTAAGGGACTTCAGGCAAATGCCCTCTCTTCCTGGTCACCACTAGCCACTTGTCCAATGAAAGTGATCAGCCTGTTTAGTAAAGATGTACCAACCCGAGGCAGGGCACACAGGGGGCCTCCGAGGCCAGCCCTCCCTCCCAGGGCTCCCGGGACAGCAAGGTGGGGGAAATGAAGTTGTCCTGCTCTGCCAGAGGGGGTCTTGGGTAGGTGTCAACCTCAGGCTTTTCTTGTTTGGCCCCCTAGCTCAGGCACCCCCACTCTGACCCCCACCAAGCAAAGAAACTAAGGGGAGCGTAGCTTCCAGAGTTGGCCAGATCTGGGTTCAAAACTTGACTCTATCAAGGATTGGCTAGGTGACTTGGGCCAGTCACATAAACCCTCTGAACCTCAATTTCTTCATCTGGAAAATGGGATCAATAAAGCACCTCCCTCACAGGATTAGTCTGACAAACCTATGAGAAAGTTCTAATCATTTACATAGTGGTCAGCCCAGTGCAGGCCCTCAGCCCAGAGCAGGCCCTCAGCTCAGGGTAGACTTTCTCAGAGTTTACTCGGACAAAGAGGAATAAATTCAGGAGAAACTGCCCTTTGTAGGTGGTAGAGAAGGAAGGCAGAGAGCTGAGGTTACTAATAGTAAGAAACATATTAATCGTGCTATTAATAAGGAGAGCTGGCATTTATTGAGCACTTGCTATAGCTAGGCACTGTGCTCCTAGCTTCATGTGCTTGATTTCATTTAATCCCATATGCCCATGAGGGCGGCTCTCTCTCTCCCCTTGTTTTCGCAGATGATTGATGCTGAAGCTCAGAGCTTCTCTGACACAGCTAGCAAGGCAAGAAAAAGGCTGGCTTTGAGCTGAGTCTTTTTTTCTTATTTAATATTTATTTATTTACTTTTGGTTGCACTGGGTCTTAGTTGCAGCACGTGGGATCCTTTTTTAGGGTGTGCGGGTTCCTTTCTTGTTGTGGTACAGTCTTACTTGCCCCATGGCATGTGGGATCTTGGACCAGGGATTGAACCTGCGTCCCTTGCATTGGCAGAAGGATTCTTAACCACTGGACCACCAGGGACGTCCCTGAGCTGAGTCCTGTTAACGACTCGGCTATGCTGGACACAGAGTTCTCCTATAACTCTAGAATGTCTGAGCAGAAAGAGCCCTCACATGTCCTAGTGCAAGCCCCGAGTTTTTCAAATGGCGCTACTAGAGCTCAGCAAGGGCAGCGGCCTGCACAAAGTCATAGGTACTTTGGAGTGTGGCGGACGCAGCAGAAAACCCCAGCGGCCACACACTCCTCACTGTCACACCAGACTCACGGGGCCGCCAGAATCCACGTCCTCGCAGGCTCCCAGCCTCTCCCTGAGTGTCTTTCACTGTCTGTCTCTCACACTGTTTATCTGCTTCCCTCTGTTTCTGATGTTTCTCTCGGCTTGTCTGTTTGTCTGTCTCTGTTTCTCTCTCTCATCCGACGTCTGGCTGGAGGCAGGGTCCCAACCCAGGGAGGGGGTGGGAGGGGCGGACTCGGGCTTGGTCAGCCCTGGACGCTGGTCCTCGCTCTCATCACAGCCGGCTTTCTTCGAGGCCAGGACTGGGTGATGGTGTCGCTACTCCCGCCACAATCTGACGTCACGCTGCCAGGCCCCACCAGGCTGGAGGGCGAGCCCCAAGGGGACTTCATGCAGGCACCGGGCCTCCCAGGCTCCCCCGCCCCGCAGAACGTAAGTACCTGGCACCTAGGCCTGGGCTGAGGCCAAGACCAGAGGGCCGCATGACAGCAGGTGGGCCATCACCCCCACCCCCCCGGGACCTCCCTGCTTCTCTCTTGTCCTTTCTTCCAGCAAACGAGTACCCAGGGACTCCCAGATCCCGAAGTGTTGAGATCTGGGCCTCTGCTTGTCCCTTTGGTCTGGGACTTTCCCAGGGCAGGGCTGTGCATCCATCCTACTGGGGGTGACCCCGGGGTTCGAGCGGTGCGTCCTCATCAGATCAAGGCTTCCAAGGGTGGGTGAGGTCTCCCTCCTCCACCGGGAACTCCCCAGAGCTCAGCCACAGACCCTTTACCCTCGCACAGAGTCAGGTCTGGATCCAGCCTCCACTCATAGGCTGTCTACCCTCTGTCCACCCCAGAAGCACGCCGGCTTCAGCTGCTCATCTTTTGTGCCTGATGGCCCTCCAGAGCGGGAGTCCTCACTGCCCCCACACAGCCCCAGCATCGCATCACCAGACCCCGAGCAAGTCCACTGCCCTGCCGGCCCTGGCCCGGGCCCCTTCCGGCTCTCACCCTCAGACAAGTACCCCGGCTTCGGCTTTGAGGAGGGTCCAGCGAGCGGTCCCGGGCGCTTCCTCAAGGGCAGCCACGTGCCTTTCCACCCATACAAGCGACATTTCCATGAGGATGTCTTCCCTGAGGCCCAGACTGCCCTGGCCCTCGAAGGACACTCCTTTAAGACCCCGGGGGCTCTGGAGGCCTTTGAGGAGATCCCTGAGGATGTGGGGGAGGCTGAGGCCTTCCTGCCTGGCTTCCCTGCGGAGGTCTGGTGCAATGGGCTCCCATACCCCAACCAGGAGCACAGCCCCCAAGTCCTGGTGAGTACCAGCGCCAGCGCGCACCCCATCACCCCTGTGCTAATTCCCAGCACTCCAGAAAGTCTTCTGAAATCAAACTTTCTGCCATCCCTTTTCCAGACCTTTCTACTCAGGGTCAGTGTGCACCTGCAAGCTCAGAGAGTTGGGGTCTTTCAGCTTCATTCGGAGCCTCCAGATCAGCTGAGGAAGGGAATGCTGACCTGGCCCAGTGTCGAAGGTGTCAGGTCAGGGAGTCTGGTCAGATCCAGGGATGCTGGAAGCTCCCCAGAGGCTCCTGAGTCAGGATTCCAGCATGCAGCTTCTCTCAATTTAAAAGTCAAGAATCCCCAGCCAGACCTTCACACCCATATGTAAATGCGAGAAGAAAAACGCATTCCAGAGGCCAGGAGAAAGGGTTTAGGGAGGAGTCACAGTGCACAATGTTCTCCACTCCAGCATCAGCATGCAGAGTTGGGAGAGGACTTAAGTCTTCTCAAAGGACACTTCTGGGCCCCATTCTTTACCTAGAATGAGGCCTGGGTGTATTGATAGAAATACCTTGAAAGCATCTCAGATCAATATGTCCTTTCATAGCCATACCCATGAGCTCTGTGACCTTGGGCAAAGTCACTTAACCTCTCTGAGCCTCATCAGAAAGGTATACTTGCCAGCACCTACCCCATAGGTTTATTGCCTTGGGAAGAGGAAAACCCACTCCCAGTTGGGGTTGTGCCTACTCCAGATACAAGTATACTGGAGTGGGTTGCCATTTCCTGTTCCAGGGGATCTTCCCAACCCAGGGATCAAACATGCATCTCCTGCATGTCTCCTGCATTGCAGGCAGATTCTTTACCTCTGAGCCACCTGGGAAGCCCCATTCCATCAGTTACTGCCCTGTAAATGTCCAGTGTCGGCCTCTGGTCACTGTGCCAGATGTTTCCTTTCAAGTACTCTTTAATCCTTACAACAACCCTCTAAAGAGTTCCCACTACCTCCATTTTGCAGAAGAAGAAACTGAGGTCCCATAGAGACCAAGGAGAAGAACTCGGGCCCAGAGACCCACAGCAAGATGGTCGACTCGCTGAGTGACCTTGGGCACATCCCTTCCCTTCTATGGGCTCAGCCCCATCATTGGCCAAATGATAGGGTTGGACATAGTATTCATGGCCCTTCTAGGCCTGAGATTCTACGATTATGGATATCTCTGCATCAGCCACCCCAGGGCACACCCAGGAAAGAGCTCACAGCTGATTTGACCCTCTGGGCCTAGATGCTGGTTCCCCAGGCCCCTGGTAACCCCAAGAAGAATGATCCACCTGCTCTTGGCCTTGTTAACCTTCAAGTCCCTAGCTGTGCTCTCTGTCTGGGTGCCTACTCAGGGTAGAGCTCTAGGCAAGTCCCTGGGGGTTCCACATGGGGCTCACAACCTGTGGGAAGCCAGGATCCGGCCCCCCCCACCACCAGAAGCTGCAGACTCCCTCTGCCAGAGTGGGAAAGGGTACAAGGCTCCAGCAGACTAGCAACTAAGTAGACTCCTCAAGGGCTTTCCAGGAGGTACAAGCAATAAAGAACCTGCCTGCCAATGCAGGAGACATAAGAGGCACCGGTTCAATCCCTGGGTTGGGAAGATCCCCTGGAGGAGGGCATGGCAACCCATTCCAGTATTCTTGCCTGGGAAATCCCACGGAGAGAGGAGCCTGGTGGGCTACGGTCCACAGGGTTGCAAAGAGTCAGACACGACTGAAGCAACTTAGCACACAGCACAGACTCCTCAGAACAGAGAGCAAAGGCTCTGAGTTGGGTGCGCCCAGAGCAGAGGGGACTCACTAGTCCCCTCCAGAGAATCTGCTAGATCTACCTTGGGCTTTGCAGAATAGGAAGTGGTAGGGCCTTGGGGGCCCCAGCTGGATCAGCCTGCCTGACCACTTCCTGTGCTCCCTCCCCATGGCTCTGCAGTGGAAATTCCAGAGCAGTGATCTTTTGAGGATCTGCTCTGAGGGGCTGGTGGTTCTGAACCAGGAAGCAGGTCCCGAGCCAGGCTTGGTGAGTTGGGTTATCCTTGTGTCATTCCAGGGTCCTCCCCCAGCTTCAGTGTGACTGACAACAAGTCTCCCACACTTGCCTGGATAGACCAGCCTCAGCCTCTCACTTGGAGGGAAGTGGGGAGTAGGGAGCACAATCAGTTCCAGCTCCAACTCCACCACTAACCTGCTGAGTTCCCTGGGGAAAATCCTTGCCCTCCTCTGTTCTCTTGTATTTGTCCTCCAGGAATAAGCTTTGCTAGAGGCAAAGGTGGAATTGCTTTTGTGTAAGGTTCAAGATGGATGATAGGAAAGAAGAAAGACAAGGTCCAGCCTGGTCATCTGTTTCTTTCCTTCCAGCAGGGGTCAGAAGTCAAGGTCAAGCCCCCAGCTCTGGAGAGTGGTCCGGGGATGTACTGTTACCAGCCCCCCTTGCAGCACATGTACTGTCCTTCCCAGCCCCCCTTCCACCAGGTGGGTCTGGGGCAGGTGGGCAAGTTCCCCCAGGGTCTCAGGATATTATGTTCATGTGTGATGTGTGGGTGTGTATATGAGTGTATGCATGCACAGCTAGATGGGCAGGTAGGGGCAGCAGGGCCCTGAATCTCAGGCTGGGCCACCCAAGGTGGGGAACACGGGTTCACAGGAAGGGAAGCAATTGCCTTTCTCTCGGAGTGGGCGGGGCTTCTCTGAGACCCAGGCAGTGCCTGAGAGGTCTGGGCAAAGAGGGTGGGGCTGAGATTGGGGCAGGGCTGGATGGAACCAAAAACGGAAGAGAAAGAGGAGAACAAGACAAGGACTGAGCAAAGAGAAAAGGAGTTTAAGTGGGGTAACACACAGGCTGAACACCACAGAAACAACAGGCTCCTGCCTGGGTCAGCTACCATCTTGTTATGTGGCCTTGGCCTCAAAGTTCCCTTGAGCCTAAACAGGGTGGGACCAGGAGTGAGGCTAGGGGACCTTCCCCGTTGGAGGCTCCAAGTCCCCATCATCTTTGGCCTTCTCCCCCGTCTCCACGATCTCCTAGAGAAGGGAATGGCAACCCACTCCAGTATTCTTGCCTGGAGAATCCCATGGACAAAGGAGCCTGGCGGGCTACAGTTCATGGGGTCACAAAGAGTCGGACACGACTGACAGATTAACACTTTTTCCACTCCCCACCCCACTGCTCAGCCTCAGCTCCTCCCGATTCACAGGATGCCAAGTAATTGCCCCACACTGGCATGGGACGGAGGTTTTTAAAAAGAGAAAGAAAAGTGCCCCAGAGCAGCCAGGCAGCTCCCAGGAGTCACCGGGCAAGACAGAGCAAGTGGCTGCCCAGCGCCCAGCTCCATCCACCTGCAGCCTGGCACTGAGACAGGCCGTGCCTGTGGAGCAGGTTCTACTCCCAGCTCTTTGGCATTGGCCCCGATGTTGGCCAAGCCAGGGAGGCAGGCACGTGGGCGGGAGGGTGGTCAGACTGCTTGCTTTGTGGGGAGAAAGAAAGAGAAGGAGGGAAGCAGAGGGAACACGGGATCATCCTCACTCTGTGAGGAGCCTGGCTGGAGTGGCCCGGCCATCCTGAGGCTCATGGTCTGACCCAGGGTAGGGGTGTCCCTGAGGCAGCCTGGCCCAACAGGACTGAGCCACGGCAGGGCTCAGGGGCTACCAGGCCCTCGACGGCTTCACCGTGTCCAGCTCTGTCCTGATCCCCTCTGTCTTCTGCACCCGCTCCCCGGACAAGATGGCCGCACCCAGGGCTTTATGGAGGCAGCAGAGAGGGTGACTCAGTCACTAAGTGTCTCTCGGTGACCTGGAAAGAGCACTTCAGCCTGGAGCAGATGGGGGAGTCAGAGTCTCCTACCCCCCTCTCACCCCCATAAAACACCATCCCTGGCAGCCACTCCCTTTGCTGTAAAAACCACCTCCTACCCTCACCTGCCCACCACCATGACCAGCCCTTTCAAAGAGCCACTGAAACTCGTAAAAGGGGCCAGTGCCCAGCAAACACCCAGGCCGGACACCCCACTTCCGGCCCAAGCACTCCAGGAGATGCCAGGGAGCCCCGAAGCAGCTGCCCGAAAGGGTGCAGGGGCCCGAGCTACCCCTCACACGTTCTAGTTCAGCTCCTGTCCTATCATCATGGCAACCAGGGTACCTAGAGGTCTGAGAGGAAGATGCTGAAGGAGGTTTTGAGACCTCTGAGATCCTGAATTCTGGAATGTGGATCTCCTCACAGGCCTTCCCAGGGCAGCTGCATCCTTGGCCAGCCTCAGATAGCTCTGCCTTTGGGGCCCATGACCATGGGTGGCAGAACGCTTGAGAGAAGAATCTAGCTTCACTTCCTTCCCTGGATGTATATGAGTGGGGGGAGGGGGCTCCCTTCCTTGGGAAGACTGGTTACCGTGGCAACCACTCTGCCCCTTTGACCTCTACAGTACTCACCAGGTGGCAGCTGCTACCCTGTACCGTACCTGGGCTCCTCACACTATCCCTACCAGCGCATCGCACCCCAGACCAGCCCCGACGGGCACCAGCCCCTCTTCCCAAAACCCATTTACTCCTACAGGTAAGTTTCTCAGCACTTCTGGGGGAGCAGGAAGAGGGGTGAGAAGTCCCTGAGACATGGAATCCTTGAGGTGTTGGGGTAATGGTAGGGGGGTGGAAGTCACACCCAGTAGACTTCCAAAGGATGCTAGAGAGAAGACTCCAGCGTGGGGGCAGGGGGCTTGACTAGCTCCCCTCTGAACTTTCGTCCATCCCTGGGGAGCCATGTCTGTGGCTCAGCTCAGCAGATGCTAGTGCCCCAGGGTGAGCCCGCTGGGTTCTAGCCTCCTGGGGCCCTGGGACTGAGAGTTTAGTGGGGGACGCTCCTCCCTTTCCCTTCCCTCTGCAGACTCAGAGAGAAGCCTCACCCCAAAGTGCCACCAGAAGTAAGCGAGGGGTGAGGTCTGCAGAGGTGGTTCAGTTACTCAGCATCTACCAGATCTGCTGCAGCGGCTCTGGGGCTGGGGTTGTAGGTGCCAGGCCACCAGCACCCTGCCCATCTGGGACCCCTTCCGTCTGAACTTTCACTCATCCGACCAACACTGATACTCGAGCTCCTGTGTGCCAGGCCTCACGTGGGGTCAGGGCATCAGCCAGGGTGAGCTCAGGAAATGGAAAAGTACTTACACATTATCCAGGAGCACAGAGAAGGGGTTTGTGGAAGGCAGGATGGTGCACAGAAAATAGCACACGCAATCTTTGGAGCCCAGTAGAGCCAGGTTCAAGTCCAGGTTCCGAATTTACTAGCTGTGAAACCTCAGGCAAGTGACTTAATCTTTCTAAGCCTCTGTTTATTCATATTAAAAAAAAAAAAACTGCCGTATTCAGGCCTTTGGATAGATTAAGTGAGAGAATATGCTTGGCACATTGTAGGGGCTCAAATAACCTTAGTTCCCTCCCTTACGATCCAATATTCAAGCAATTGGCTGAGGGCTGACAATGACAGCGTCCATTTAATGAGAGCCTTCTATATGCTAGGCAGCATCCTTAATCTTCACGACTCTGAGGTAGCTATTACTTTCTTCACTTCAAAGCTGAGGAAACTGAGGCTCAGAGAGGCTAAGGCACTCACCCAAGGTCACACAGCTAGTGAGTGACTAAAGCCAAGAGTGCAAGCCAGCTCTCTCAGATGCCACAAAACCCTCGAATATCAGTAATTCCTAACTTCAGTGGATACTTTCTCATTCCGTCTCCTCTCGACTGCCTCTCACCCATGAATTCTGCAGCAGGCTCTTCTCTCTTAACTGTTCCAGCCAGGGTAGGAGGGTGGGGGAAGACTCCAGGCCCGATCAGAGGTTCCAACTCTCAGAGCTTTCTCTGCCTTCAGCATCCTCATCTTCATGGCCCTTAAGAACAGTAAAACTGGGAGCCTTCCTGTCAGCGAGATCTACAATTTTATGACGGAGCACTTTCCTTACTTCAAGGTGAGCCCCAAATCCACCCCACCCCACCACCCCCAAGTCCTGGGGCAAGCCAGACCTCTCTGGAACCAGAAGATACCATTGGGAGGTGGGAGATGCGTTTGAATGAAAGCCAAGAGAGAGTGTGCCCTCCCACCACACGCTTCCCTTTGTCTGCCCTTCAGAAGGACAGTTCTGTGTGGGCAACAGAGAGCTCAAGCCATTCACCAGAGGTCACACAGCAGGCTGGAGTCAGACCTCATGCTGGTGGAAGATGGACATGGCAACTTGATAGGCTTCAAGGAACATCCACCTACCCCAAACTGGGGGACAGAGCTTGGGAAGAAATAAGAGGCTGTTCCCACTGCTGCCCCCAGGATGCTGTGGGACTGAGGAATTTGGGTAGGAGCTGGCCAGCCAAGGTGACCCAGGATGCTGGGGCTGCAGAACTCATTGCCTTCCTGGGAGAGATTAGGATCTGCCTCCGTGGGCGTCAGACTCAGCTGCAGTTGTGCCAGAAAGTGGGGTGTTGGCTTCACAGTTTTAGAGTGTCCTAGGGAGCTGGCTGTTTCACCTGACCTTCCCACGGACAGGATCTAGTCTCTTTTGACCACAGAAGGGGCTTCTGGGGCTCTACCAGATTCTTTCCCTACAGGCAAGACAAGCACCCTTCTCTCTCCATTTGTTCAAGGCCAAACAGCAGGTGGGATCTCTCGCTGCTGGCTCAGGCTTTCTGGCTTCCCACTTCCCTTGTCCGCAGGCTCCCCAGGCCCTCCAACAAAAACCCCTCCTTCTGGGGTGGGTGCAGGGGAAGTCAGAGCTTGTGTATGAGGAGTGCCTTCTCCAAGGCCTGAAACCTAATGGATATGGTCTCACCTGCTGTCCGGGCAAAGGACAGGAGCTGAGACCCAAGTAATCCAGAACTCAGCTCCACCCACCAGCGGGTGATTTCTGACCCCACCATCTTCCCAGCTGTGCTGTCTGGGGATAATTTGAGGTTGATATTCAGACAAGGGGCTTTCCTGATGGTTCAGCGGTATAGAATCCACCTGCCAGTGCAGGTTCAATTCCTGGCTCCAGAAGATTCCTTGGAGGAGGGTATGGCAACCCACTCCAGTATTCTTGCCTGAGAAATCCCATGGGCAGAGGAGCCTGACCGGGCTATAGTCCTGGGGTCACAAAGAGTGGGACACAACTTAGCAACTGAACAAGGATTCCAACAAGTTCGGACTTGCTGAGCTGCCACCGAATGACGAATGGGCAAGATGGCCAGAGTTCTGGCCAAGAACGAAAAAGCATGGTCATCCATCAGAGCTTCTGGAAGGGAGAGGAGCAAGGAGGAGAGTTGGCACTGGTATTCAAGCAGCATCACAGCTGGTATCCAGGGCTTACCCTCTAAATCCTGGCATGTCAGGGGGCCAAAGTCTCATTGACCTGTAAAGCTTTTAGAGTGTCCCCTAAGGCTTCAAGGAGTCAGGCCGGAGAGAGGGAAGTGGGGGAGGGCCCTGCCCCATTCCTCTCAGCTTTTCCTCCTTGCCAACTCCCAGCCTGGCCCCCAGCCCCTCCCTACATCTCATCTTCCTGGCTTAATTATTTTTCCTGGGAGCCGTGTAATCCCTGTTTTATGGGGCTAAGGAGTGAAGAGGTCTAACTGCTTTTTTTTTTTTTTTGGTTCCAGTTGTTGTTCTAAGCCAGTTGCATCACTCCCTCCCTCCCAAGTTTACATTTGACTTCAGAGAGAAACCATCTGTGAGGATGGGACGGGCCCCAGGTGGTAAAGACAAGCCGGTGGGGTGACCTGGGCAGGGCCCTTAGTTAGGGAACAGAGCTGGAGTCTGGCTCTGTCCCTGCCTCCTTATATGATCTCGGCCTGGACCCTTTCTTCTCTGGACCTCAGTTTCCCAGTCTGTAAAATGGTCAGATTGGACCAGTTGGCACACAGATTCCTTCCAGCTCTGACAAATCCCCTCCGACACACCTAAGGAAAGAATTCAGAGATCCTCTCCCCACCTCTAGCTCTCATTCCCCAGTTGAAGGTCATTTTTCTGGGCTAGGACTGAGTGGCCCTGGGGTGGGCAGCACTCATGCCCAAGGCAGCCGAGATGGGCGTCCTGAAGCCCTTTGAGTCAGCGGTGTGGGACGGGGCAAGTTCTAGCCACTGGACATAATTGCTAGTGCTGACCATCCCTCTTCCAAACAGGAAGTGGCTGGGGTGGGGGCTGCTCTGGCATCCCAAAGTCACAGGTTTATGGGGCTGTAAAGGGCCCGGTGCCCATTAACTCTGCCCACCGGGCCACACAGCCTTGACTCCTCGTAGGGACTGCTGAAGGAGTTGAAGGTGAATCCCTAGCTGTCTGGTCTGGTGGCTTAAGAGTCTTCTCTCATGACCCTGGGAGCTTTGGGGGTCATCTCAACCAGACCCCTGACCCAGGCCAGTGGCCCCTAGGAAAGGCTTCAGCCGATCCTGCCAACCACTTGCAGCAGCGCTGGCATCGGGGCCCAGTTCTGCTGGACGTGATTCAGCCTGGCTGCTCCCTGGGGCAAGCGAGCTGGGGAGGAGGGAGTGGCTGCCCCTCATTAGGCAGAAACGGTGAGCTGGAAGGGAGAGGGGCCGGGGGGGTGAGGGCACAGAAGGACCTCACCAGGCAGAGCGGGTGCTCTGCCCACAGTCACCCCTGCTGGGCCCAGGACTGTCACAGAGCCTGGAAGAGAGCTCTGGAGGCGGGAGGGGTGCGGGGGGAGGGTGCCCAGTGGCACCCCCACCACCGCCTCTCACCCGACTGAGTCAGCCTAATGGTTTTTACAACCCTCCCTGGGCACAATTACTGCACTGGTGGCATGACCAGGCCTCCTAATGGGTGTTTATTCTGTTGGCACGAGCATCCCCCGCCTGAGGGCTGGCCTCCCCACCAGGGCACGCCCCCCAGGCACACACATGTAAACACCCACACACACATACAATCATGGATACCCACACACACCCCCAGAGAGACTTTCTCACACACACACCTCCTTAGCAAGACACACATGTCCTCACACTCAGAGGAATTCACGGACCCACACCCCGGAGTCAAGCTTACAGCAGGGAGACACAGCCCCAGAGAGCTCAGAGGGCAAGGCCCTCTGCACAGAGGGGTCCAAGCACAGGCCTGGAGACCCAGCAGGGAGTGGTCCAGCCCCAGGTCAGGGAGGACCTCCTCCTTAGCACCCACCAGCTCCTCCTGCATGAATCACCTCGACAGTCCTCTGAAGGGCATGGGGTAGGATGGAGGTAGATTTTAGGTGCTAATAACTGTGACTGAGGTTCTTGCCCATCCCTGCCCCACTACTGATGGGACTGAGAGTGGGCTGGCTCCTGAGGAGCATGACAAGCCCCAGAGTGGGTGGCAGTTGTGTGCCCAGGCAGCCAAGGCTTTTCCTGACCCCTGCCTGAATTCGTGTCTTGCTCTGCTCTGGCAGACAGCGCCTGATGGCTGGAAGAATTCTGTCCGCCACAACCTGTCTCTTAACAAGTGCTTCGAGAAGGTAGAGAACAAATCGGGAAGTTCCTCTCGTAAGGGCTGCCTGTGGGCCCTGAATCCGGCCAAGATTGACAAGATGCAGGAGGAGCTGCAGAAGTGGAAAAGGAAAGACCCCATCGCCGTGCGCAAGAGCATGGCCAAGCCAGGTGAGGCTGCCAGCCAGCGGGGTGGACCCGGGGTGCCCAGAGCCAAAAAATTAAAGTAAGAGTTGGGGTGGTGAGAAAAGCTGGGCAACGGAAAGCTGATGAATAAGGAAAGGGCCTGAATGTGCTTCCAAGGCTGGGAGCGATGGTGGGGGAAAGGAGGTCTCACAGTGTCCTCTCTTGGGCCTTTTCAGAGGAGTTGGACAGCCTCATTGGAGACAAGAGGGAGAAGCTGGGCTCCCCACTGCTCGGCTGCCCACCCCCTGGGCTGGCAGGTTCCGGCTCCATCCAGCCCCTGGCACCTCCAGCAGGGCTCTCCCAGCCGCTGCACTCAATCCATCCAGCTCCGGGCCCCATTCCTGGCAAGAACCCCCTGCAGGACCTACTTGGGGGGCACGCGCCCTCCTGCTATTCGCAGACATACTCGCACCTCTCGCCGGGCCTGGCCCCTCCTGGACCTCCGCAGTCATTGTTCCCACAGCCAGATGGGCATCTAGAGCTGCGGGCCCAGCCAGGCACCCCCCAGGACTCGCCTCTGCCTGCCCACACCCCACCTAGCCACAGTGCCAAGCTGCTCGCTGAACCTTCCCCAGCCAGGACCATGCATGACACCCTGCTGCCAGACGGAGACCTTGGCACTGACCTGGACGCCATCAATCCCTCTCTAACCGACTTTGACTTCCAGGGTGAGCTGGGGGTGGGAAGGGGAGGTGGGACAGGCCTGCAGAGGGGCAGCTGGTAGTGTGGCCCGGGCCATCTCAGTCTCCAGGTTGCAGCCTGCTAACTGCTGGATTTCCAGAGCAGAGAAAGCCCAGAGCTGGGGAATGGGTGGTGGTGGTGAAGGGTCAAAGAGGAATATTCTTGCCCCTATCTCCCTCCTCCTAGGTGCCCTTGAACGGGTTCCAACTGACCTATCACCAAACCACTCTCAGCTCTGGGCTGAGAGTGCCCGGGAGAGCCCGGGTCTTGGAAAGCTACTGTTAGAGACAGACAGCTAGAGCCTCATCCCCCTCCAGAAGTGGGGAGCCAGGCTCAACAGCCTCAGAAGAAGATATAGACCAGGGGTGCGTGCCCCCCAAGTACCTTCAGAAGAAGACACAGGCTGGAAAGGGGCCAATGGTCTATTCCATAGTTGATTGTGAGCAACAGAGATTCTGAACAATTCCAGAAGCAACTATATTTTTGGAGTTCATCACCTAATGCAGAAGAATGAGAGGGATCTTTCCCCAGAAGAAGGGAAGGCCAAGGAGCTAAGCAGGTCCCAGGAAGAGAATCTGTCTCTTCCATTCCATCTCACCTGCTGCATCTCTGCCTGTGGCCAACCCCACCCATTCCCATCTAATCTCCAGGGCACCCCCAGGCCCTGGTACTGGCCACAGGAGCTTTGAAGGAGGGTGCTGACCCAGGCCTCAGACCCTCTGTGTGCCCTAGGGTAGGGGCCATCCACAAGCAGGTGGGGGCAGCTGACCCTCGGAGATCTCCCAGTCTGATGAGGAGAGAGCCCAGGTCTTGGGAAGCTACTCTTAGAGAAAGGCAACTAGAGCCGCAGCTCCCTCCAGAAGTGGGGAGCCGGGCTCCACAGACTCAGAAGAAGCTATAGATATGTGGGCTACCATAAACATTTACCTGAGCCCTACTGGCATCACGTGAGGCACTGTACATGCACTCTCTCACGTGGGCCTATAGGGTAGGAGGGATTATTCAACCCATTTCACAGATGTGCACCATGGTTAAGTAACTTATTCAAGGTCACTGAGCTAGAAAGAAGGAGAGTTAGCATTGGAAACCAGGCAGCCAGTCTTGGGTTTAGTTCAGACCCCTTCCTCCAGACCCTGAAGCCCTGATCCCCAGGCCCTGGCCGGCCACAACACAGGTCACACCACACAGAGAAAGATCGGGTGCAGCATAGTTTGCACCCCAGAGTCGGTGCTTCCCGGTGGGGAGCACCTCCCGGCAGGGCTTTGTTCCTTTTCCTTGGGCCCTGCAACAGAGGAGCCCAACCAGCTCACTGGATGCCACAGCGCATTACTGGAAGATCCTTGGTCTGGGCTGCACAGTCACCTTCCTTGGGAACCTGGACAAGAGCTAGGGTGAATGTACAGCATCTGCATCAACCCTTCCAACAGGCAGCTCTTAAATCTTTGACCACTCCCCCATCCCCCAAAAAAGAGCCACAGAGTTCTTCTGGGCTATGGCATTCACACTGTCCTACATGGGAGGAGGATTCAGAGAGGTTTAGCAACTGCCTGGGATCACAGAGTTAGTGCCAAAGGCCTGCTCTCCAATCAGTGTTACCCCAGTCCTGCTCTCTAAAGAGCATGTGAGAGCGTGGGGTGGGAGGCAGACAGGGCTCCTTGGTGCCTCCCAGTGATGCCTGTTTTCTCCCCCAAATAGGAAACCTATGGGAACAGCTGAAGGATGACAGCTTGGCCCTTGACCCCTTGGTACTGGTGACCTCATCACCAACATCGTCTTCAGTGCCGCCAGCTCCCCCTCCCTGCTATCCCCCTGGGCCCTGTCTGGCCGAGACCGGCAGTGGGACAGGCGACTTGGCACCCCCAGGCAACGGGGGCTCTGGGGCACTGGGTGACCTGCATCTCACCACCCTCTACTCGGCCTTCATGGAGCTGGAGCCCACACCTCCCGCGGCCCCTGCTGGCCCCTCTGTGTACCTCAGCCCCAGCTCCAAGCCCATGGCCCTGGCCTGAGCAATGCCCTGCAGCAGCTCCAGCCTTTGCTTGGCCTGGAAGTCCCAGCCGGCCGCCCATGTCGGGCTCACCTTAAAGGTCAAGGAAGGAAACACACTCCCTGTCCCCTGTGTCACAAAGCCAACTTGGCTGTTAGCTGGCAGCTGGAGGTGAAGTCACCACCCAGGATTCTGCCCCTCGCACATTTCTACCACGTGGTACACCAGCTCCTGCCCAGGGATCCTGGAGAGCAAGTGTCTGGGCAAGAAGAAAATGCATTCTCCATGGCTCACACTCATCCACACTTAGGCTCTCGTGCACATGTGCACAGGCACACACACACACACACACACACACACACAGAGTTATGCAGACATACACCCACTCACCTTATATCCAGAGGAATCAGAACTACATCACAGACTTCATTGGGGGGCAGCTGAGAGCTGAAGGCTTTGGTTATCAGAAGCTCAGGGCCCCCAGCCAGGTCCAAGACCACCCTGGAACCCTCTTCTGATGTCCATGTTCTCTGCAGGCCTGCCCCCCTCCAGGAGTGATCTTTCCCAGAAGCCCCCTATATTTATTCTCCCATCTTCATCCCAACAGCCCATCGAGAAGGAGGAGATATGGAGCTTCTCCCCAAGTTGTCTATGGGCCCCCAAGAGGGTGCTGATATTCACAGCGCCCACCCTGCCAGGCTCTCAACCTGTCCTCAACTTAAGCTCTATCTGGCTTCCCCCGGGGGATGACACACAGGTGGGGCAATGTCCGCCCCAGGACCAAACTGAGCCCAGTTCCGACACAAAGTGTTTGGAAAAACCCTTGCCCTCGGAAACTTGAAAGTGTCCTTTTGTCCCAGCCCTGGATGCAGGAAAGGCCCCTCCAGGTCACTATAGTCACCCCTGAGAACTTCATGTAGTTTAGGTCCCAGCTTATGAATACTTCTGTTTCAGACAGCCTGGGCAGTTAGGGAGGGAACTCTGGTTCAGGCTGACGGGGGAGCACCCATGCCCCCTCTCTTTGACTGCTGGGCAGGCCCAGGATGCCCCTGGAGCAAGGGGATGTGACTTGCTTGCCCACTGTGTCCTGAGAGCCCAACCCACACCAAGTAGGCTGAAGCTCCCACTTCAGCCTACCCGGGGCCTGAGGCTAACAAGAACACCCCCCACCCCGCCAAGGTTGGGCCCAGGCTCAGATGAGACACAAGCAGAACCCCTGATGGCCTGCCACTGTTCCCTGTCCTGGAACAATAAAGCAAATGCCTTGTGGTCTCAGCTACCAAGCCTTCATTTCTAGACCTCCCCTCTGTGGGGCAAAAAGGTCGGGACACACTGACTGTGATTCCAGATTCCCTGGGCCTGTGATCTTACCTCAACCCTCACCCAGAACTGGGAAGTTTCAATTTGAAGAATGAGGCATCTCAGAGGACTTCTGAACAGCAAAGGGAGGACAAGGGGATGAGGTGTGGGGGGAGCATCTCTTCCCAGGAGAACTTCCTGAAGGATCGGAAGCAGCAGCTGCCCTGTCCAGAGGGAGGGAGGGAGGGAGGGTGTAGGTACCCTCCCCCACATCCCTTCCTCCTGAGATCTGTCCCTTCCTCACCCTCCATCACACTAAGAAGGGGTCACTTCCCTATCCAGACTGTGCCTTTCCGCCCCCATCTTTCCCCGACTGGGCTCTGGGTTCCACAGGTGACATGAACGAAAGAGCAGGGTGCTGTGTGCCCTGCTGGCCCTGGAGGGTGGTCTCTGGAGGGTCAGGGCCCACTCAGTCCCACCAGGCAGGCTGCTGTCACCAAACAGCACCCTGGGAGGCAGCCCCACACTCGGCCTGAATGGGGATGGGGCAAGTGTGGGAGCCAAAAGCTTATCCATGGGCCTTGGACCTCGATCTCAGAGCAGACATGGGTGGACCCTCTGCTTAGAAAGTTTTCCCAGGGGCCAGGGCCTGGGGGCAGCCACTACCTTGGCCAGAGGACATAATTGCAGAGGATCCCATAATAGAACCCTACCTTCCACCAGCACGCTCCCTCCCAGAGGCTCTAAGGCTGGGGCCAGAGCTAGAGGGATGCAGGGGTGGAGTGGGGTGAAGGCATGGCCAGCCAGTGTGCCCAAGAGGAAGAACCCCCCCTCCACCCGGACCCAGCCCAGCCCTGGGGTATAGGAAATGGTGAAGGCTCTCTGTCAAGCCCCCAGCTCGGGGCAACCGCAGGCCTGTGTCTTGATATCCAAGCCCCCAAGAGCAGAGTGAGTGTTTCATGGGAGAACTTTACTGGGACCCACTTCCTTGCTTCAGAACCTCGGACCCTGGAGGCTCAGACAACCTCCTCTACACCTCCAGCCCCGGCAGCTGGAGGCCGTCAGTCCAACCTCAATTTTGGGCCCATTCGGCACACATGTAAGTGAGCTTGCCCCTGTGCAAGTAAGACAGGTGGCAAGTAGATAAGCCGTGGGGTCTCATGTTTCTTCATTTGTAACCAGACTGGCCCTTGGACTAAAAACTGGGCAGAAAAACAAAACACAACATAACAAAAAGCAACTGGGTGGCCGCGGCTATCGGAACTGAACCCCACACTTCTGCTCATATGCTGCCCCCTGCTGGCCACTCATCATGTGTTCGCCCACCGTTCAGAGAGGAATTGTTTGCATGGATCCAGGGTCTGAAAGTTCTGTTTGTGACAAATTAACCCTTTTTTTCCGTCTAGTCAAGGCTATGGTTTTTCCAGTGGTCATGTATAGATGTGAGAGTTGGACTGTGAAGAAAGCTGAGCGCCAAAAAATTGATGCTTTTGAACTGTGGTGTTAGAGAGGACTCGAGAGTCCCTTGGACTGCAAGGAGATCCAACCAGTCCATCCTAAAGGAGATCAGTCCTGGGTGTTCATTGGAAGGACTGATGCTGAAGCTGAAACTCCAATACTTTGGCCACCTCATGCAAAGAGTTGACTCACTGGAAAAGACCCTGATGCTGGGAGGGATTGGGGGCAGGAGGAGAAGGGGATGACAGAGGATGAGATGGCTGGATGGCATCACCGACTCGATGGGCATGAGTTTGAGTAAACTCCGGGAGTTTGTGATGGACAGGGAGGCCTGGTGTGCTGCGATTCATGGGGTCGCAAAGAGTCGGACACGACTGAGCGATTGAACTGAACTGAACTGAACTCTTTTAACTTCTCAGGTTTAGGGGCTATAAACCTGAGGGTTCTAAAACCAGTTAGAATTCATGAGTCCATGAACTTGGATAAAGAAATTTCACCTTCATTTTCACTCATCTCTACCTTGAATTTAGCATGTCCCTCGATTAAGAACGTCAGCAACAAATCACAATAACTTTTCACAGAATTTGTGACTTTGTCATTAGGTAGAGAAATCACATTAGAAATCACAGATGTTTTCATAATATATTACAGGCATCACAGAATATATATAGATATCAATATATAGTTTTTAACACATAAAATATATAGGATTACAATATATTCTATGTACATAAAACCCTTATGGTCCAGAGGCTTCAGTAGAGACAACAAATGGGTCCATGACATACACAACAAAGTAAAGCACCCTTTGGGACTTCCCTGGTTGCCCAGTGGTTAGGACTCTACGCTTCCAGTGCAGGGGACACTGGTTTGCTTCCTGGTCTAGAACTAAGATCCCACAAGCTGCGTGCTGTGCCCCCAACCCCCCAAAAAGTAAAGCACCCTTGCTTTAGGTGACAGGTGGTTGGAAAGTGGAGGGTGGCTCCCAGGGAAGGGGCCAGGCTAGGGAGGAAGGCACTCGGGGCTGGGGACAGCAGCTCATCACCGACTGGAAGGAAAGCATCTCAATAGTTTACAGTGGGTTTGGTAGTGCCCACGTGCACCCCTAGCTCCAGCTCAAATTGGCATGAGTGGTGGGTCCCCCTGCAGTATCTGGTCTTTCCTGCGCAACCTCATGGTAGGGTCCTCATGACACCCCTAAGGAGTCAAAGCAAAAAATATCTGGCTGACTTCAAAGAGAATGTGAGGCCCAGCTCTGGCAAGGTTCAGTGCAGCCTTCAAGGACAGCTCATCAGCACGAGAGCCAGGACAAACCCTACCCGACGCTGTTTCTTCCTCCTTCTATAGCCCAGGGATTCTCTTGGTTCCCAGGAAAAGTGCCAGGAACCAAATGTACCAAGGTGCACCATTAGCAGCAGGACCAGTGCCAGAGGCATGAAGACTTAAAAGGAGGCAGGGGTCCAAGGCTTCTCCCAGCCAGCCTTATGCCAGGCCTCACCAGAGGAGAGCCTCTTTGATACATGACCCAGGAATGAGGACCTCAAAACAGGGACCGCCCTACCTGTCTGAAGGTGGAAGTACAGCAGGACCAAACCAGAACATTCACCCAATTCAATTTAGCACGCTCACTGCACGCTTACTCTGTGACCCTCCATTGTGAGGGGTGTTGTTCATATTAAGTGTCCCATTCATTGCAGACCATTAGGCATTCCTGCTCCCAGCTCACTTAACACTAGTAGAGCCTGGTAACCACCTCATAATCCAGCCAGCATCATAAATGCTTGAAAACTCAGGACGACTTAGACAGGAAGAGATGGGGAGAGAGCACTGAAGCAAAGGGAACGGCATAAAGCAAGTGTTTGGAGGCACGATTTATCAATTGCTTTCAGGAAAGTGAATATTTACAATGTGAAAGATGTGTGGAGCCTTAGCGGTTCAGATGTTGGAAATTCTCCTGAAGATGATGGTGGGCCACTGAGGAGATTAAGCAGGAATGACCTGGTCAGATTATTTCTGGCAGCTGAGTGAAGGATGGATTGGAAAGAGTGAAGCTAATAGCCAATATATATTGAAAGCTAGGCCCAAGCCTGAATGTCTTACATGTGTTAGACTGTCCGCAATCAATTCTGAGGATTAAGCCCATTTTTCAGACAAAGCTGGCGCACAGAGGTTAACTTGCCACAGCTATTAAGCGGTCATGTCAGGGTGCTCCCCAGTACTTCCATGCTAGAGGCAGAGGGGTGCTGAGGAGGATATTGTAGGCATTCGAGTGAAAGGTAAAGAACTGCAGAGAAGCAGATGAAGTTGAGACTTTTAAGAGACGAAATCTTCAGTGACTGGATGGAGCTAGAGATGGGAGTTGAGACTGAGTCCCTGGTTTGTGGACAGAATGTTGGGGTGAGTAGGATTCATCTATGAATCCTCTCTAGAACCCTCCAAGCAGGATGACTCTTGCTCCAGTGCACTCAGTTCATCTTATTCTAGAACAGGTATTTGTTTCGTGTCTCACTCATTTTATTTGGCTGCACCATGTCTTAGTTAAGGCATGTGGGATCTATTTCCCTGACCAGGGCTCAAACCTGGGGGACCATGCATTGGGAGCAGAATTTTAGCCACTGGACCGCCAGGGAAATCCCAATGTCTCACTCATTTTAGAGTCCCAGAGTTCAACCCAGATCTTGGCCCTCCCGCAAGGGCTCCACAGAACCCAGGTGAATTCCAGCACTTCCAGGCCTCGCAGGCTTAGATTAACTATAGATTAGCTATTCAGTCTAGAGAGAGAAATAGCGCCAAGTGTATCCAAATTAGTGCCTGGAACAGTAGGCTGTAAACCCTGACGTAAACTCTCCCATCTACCTGTTTCTGAATTTCCTCCATTAAGATGAAGACATTCTCTGTGTCTGGGGTCAGGCTGGGGGGAGTGTTATATGCTGGGCAGCCAAGCCTGGGGTCCTCCTCAAGGCAGCTGAAGGCAAGAGAGCGGCCAGGCCTTAGCCTTCTCTTTGATGAGTGCTAAAAGGACAACCTAACGGTCCTAGTAGCCTCTGGGTTCAGGGAAGGTGGGGTAGAGGGCAAGGCCACCTTCCCAACACCTTCCCTCCCACCCAGAGTCGCAGGCCCTTGTCCCAGCCTCTGTTCTTCAATGTTAGCTATGACTTTGAGCCAAAGTTTCCCCTCTGCGTGCTCAGGTCACCATCCTTATCAAAGGAAAAACCCTTTCCAGCTGCAACGCATACTAAACACTGACTCTAGATGCCTGGAGTGGTATCCAGGTGCAGAGGATCAGGAGACAGGAGTACTCTGGGACCACATCACTGCCCCCCACCAGCCACCACCACACACACATGCCAGCCCACAACCAGAGAACAGAAAAGGAGAGTTTATTGAAAACTATATACAGTTGGTCCAGCCCCTACCACAGGCTGTAATCTGGGCAGGTCCTTCCCACACCTCAGGCAGGATCTCAGCCCCTGATGGGAGAGACCAGGGCTGGGGT